AGAATACAGGATGTACACACATCTGTGTGTTTTACTTCCCTTATATGGAAGTAAAACATGCTTTTAACTTATTTTACTGCATGTCATGGCAACAAACAAACAAAAGGAACTAGAATACAGGATGTACACACATCTGTGTGTTTTACTTCCCTTATATGGAAGTAAAACATGCTTTTAACTTATTTTACTGCATGTCATGGCAACAAACAAAAGGAACTAGAATACAGGATGTACACACATCTGTGTGTTTTACTTCCTTTGTATGGAAGTAAAACATGCTTTTAACTTATTTTACTGCATGTCATGGCAACAAACAAAAGGAAGTAGAATACAGGATGTACACACATCCTTATATGGAAGTAAAACATGACACGAAGGTTCCAGTAGTTTGTTTAAAAGATTTAATGATAAATTATTAATTTATACAGTAACTGGTATAAGTTCATCACCGAAAAGGCTTAGCTATGATACCTTTTTACTCTCCATAAACTCGTATAATCTTGAGTTTTCTTTTAATAGTAATGTTAATCATAATGACCTTTATCATTTTTGATTCTTTCTTCAAACATTATCGGTAATGCTAGAAGTTTTTCAAAACAATATTCCATTCCTCTAATACTTGCAAATAAAGCAGTAATTATAGCAGGGCTTGAAACTAACTTCTTTACGCTACTGTCAGTTACTTTAAGACAGTGATTGGTCCATGGACCAGTGCTAGTCTGTATCAACCATCTTGCCAGTCAGTAGGAATTCAGAAAGTCAAGCAAACAGAATAGTCATATGTAAATCTTAATAATTTTTTGTTGTACTTGCATTTTAGTGATTTTTGACAGTTTAGAGAGGCAGCAAGGCTGTCCCTAGTATCAAAGAGTATAAGAAACATTGCTTTTATTGTTACTTGCAAAAGTACCAGCCATGCTCGTGAAACAGAATAAAAAAGATATTTTCAACTTATCTGTCTTTACCAGCTATCATCAGTTAGGTGGTGTGAGTTTCAAAGAAGTGGTGGACTTTCATTACATATGTGACACTATACTTTCAAGTTTTTGATTTGTGTTTATGATGATAATTACACTTTCTAATATGAAATGAATATATATATATAATGAAACAATGCAACATCACTTGAACATGCTGTTTTTATTTGCTATTTTAAACTTTGGGAATCCCATTGATTGATGTACATCAAGCTAATGGGAAAAGGCTTAATGATTGATTATCATAGGGTGGTTTCCCCTTCAATTGCAAGAGCCAACTGTTTTATATATATAAGCCTTCGGACTTACCGTTGAGCCATTGGAAGATTATAAAATTTGAGATAGTAACGTATATTAAAAATTTACATCATAAAATGTTATTAGCATTCATTCTCAACAGGTGACAGCACTGTAGCAAGTTCTTGTGATAATTTTGAATTTATCATTAAAACTTTTGAAACATCGCCTCACCACGGACTTTGAACCTACGAGTGTAGTTATTCAAATTTGGATTACATGATAAAACTGTAAGTCAGTGTAGATTAACCTTTGTTCATAAACATGACGTTAGTGACTAGGTGAACTCGGAGGAAATTGTGGGTTGTTTGGTTAAAGTAGTTAAGTTACACCAAGTTGTTTTGAAAGTAGTGTAATAAGAACTACCCTCTTAACATACCCAAGTTTACAGTATTCAAAAATAGGCCATTCTGTGTATATACTCTCGTGGTTTATCCTTTTGAAAGGGAAAATAACCGAAGACAAGTAAAGTAAATAATCAGTGGGACTTGTAAGAACTGTCATACATAGTAGGTTTACATTAGGTTACGTTCTGCGTTCTCAGAACTCATTTTCTTTATAAATATTTCTACTGAAGTCAGCACTTCCGTCATGTTCAATGTGACGAATCATGACTCGTGACACTGATCCACTGGTTTTCTGCGGACAATAGAATTAACACTGAATTAGTAACTTTAGAAAAACGGTGCAACAATAAGCAGAAACGTTGAAAATTAAGTCTGTACGGAAGAGACTCGATAACGTGGCTTAGTAAGGTGGGTAGCTATGTTAACCTCTACTGATCAGAGAGATGACCAGCCCGAATGGATCCAAGAACTTCTGAAGAGGAAACAGACCCTGTATAGGGCGGTGAACGCCGTCGAAAGAAGTCGTGTGACCACGACCAGCGAACCGTGTAAGCCTTCGCATCGGCGTGTGATTTCTCAAAGCGGAAATGCTAGGGTAGAATACCAGAGTGTTCACCCCAAGGAAAAGCGGTCTCTACCTTCGCCAGTATCGTCGATCAAAACTCCACAACCTCACTTCGATTCTCGTATTGCCAACAGCCGGAGAAAGGTCAGTATTGGAGAACCAGGTTCGCCTGTTGTTTTTCCAACAAAAAATATCCACACTTGTCACCCAGAAATGTGAACCACACAGTTAATCGAAGTGACTCATCGCGAAGGTCGAAACCTTCTCTTAGAAGTTCAGACTCAAAGATTCGAGATACTTACAACATGGGCCACGCAGAAGCTCGTAAAGTTAAGACAACAGGGCAACCAACCAACACGCGGAATTGCAAGCAAGCTTCATCCTCAACTGTTAGTTCACCACACCCTTCGGACTCAGAAGAGAAAGAATTCAAGTGGGGTCCAGGGATAGTAAACAAACTGAAATCGAAGTTTATTAGTGAAACGTGGAATAGTTATACACAAGAAAATTCAGATAACAAGATGACATCTAGCAAAGTGGAAACCAGTGAATTTCCACAGAAGCTGATTTATGCTGCTGACGCCCAAGAAGGTCAAGAGGGGTTTTACGTGGATAAGAGATCTGGAACATTTACAATTCGTTCTTCCATCAACGAAATATCCAAAAGTACAGTTACTTTATTTGGTGAAACAAATTTACCGGTTCAAAGAAACTACAACCGTAGAAAGTCACCAGCCCTCAAAAGACTTGCATCTCTTTCCGAACATTTACCAAACTCGTTGCTTATAAATGAACGTATAGTAATCGTAGAACATCCCAAACACACTGTAAAATCTAGACAACATTCACCAAAGGCCAGTGTTCGTGGAGAAAACAGAAGGAATTCTACAGGTGGTTCAAACTACGAAGACAGCTCGTCACGTGACACTGTACGTTCTTGCAAACGAGTTTTTGAAACACTTAAGAAAAATTCGCAGCAACAGACAAAACTCAGAAGAAAACCACCAGTAGTGAAAACACGAAAGGTCAAGCAAACCACACCCTCTGGCGGTACAGTACCGTTAAACACTTCACCGACAATACAGGTGCAAAATGATATAGTTGTCAAACCGGTCACCAAGCAAGCAAATAATGCCTACGTTACTAGACCTAGTCAGAGAAGTGGCTTGTCTAGAACTAGGTTAGTCAAGCTGGAGCCTTCTACAAGTGGCGCCACTGTAAAGTTTATTTCTAAATCCACTTTTACGAGGAGTCCATCAGTTTCTTGTGATGACGAAGAAGCCATAAATGGAGACATTAAAGAGAATGACTCTGTTGTTTCGCCTACATCTAGAAAATCAAGTAAAGATCCCGAATATGGTGTAAGGTTAATTTCTAGTGAAGCTTTGGAAAGAATACGATCTCATGGTTCCACTATGATATTTGGTGGAAAGAGCAATTCATATGTGAAATTACGAACTAAGCCTGACCCAAGAACCATAACACGAACAAGAAAACCCAAGGCGCCTCTTCCACCACCTGTCTCTAAACAAGGTCCCACATCAGATTCCAAACCTGCAATTTCTAGCCCAGTAACAACCCTTTCAGACACTCAGTTGTTGGTGTCAAATGTCTCTACAACACCCAAACCTCAGCTAAGAGTGCCACTCAAACCACAAGAAAATCGTCCACTGATTGTTAAAATAGACGAATTCGAGGACCTCTCTGAAGCAGTGAAAGATAAAAATTCGACATCGCACGCGACCAAAGCCCCCAATATTATACAAAATCAACAAGAAGAAAAGTCCGTTGATGTTGTTCAGGAATCAGAAGAAAAGTCCGTTGACGTTCAGGAATCTGAAATCCTTCGACCTAGCACACTTCTAGGGAACAAGGTTCCTCTGTGGCAAAAACCTCCTCCAGCCAACAATACCATAGTTTTTGATTTTCGGGGTAAGAACGTGCAAGCAAATGTATCTCTACAACCAAAACCTTTTGGTGTATCTTCTGGTTCCGTTGTTAGAAAAAAGAAACAAACAGGAAAAAGCGGCTTGCCAAACGGTAATGACAGTGAATTTGGAGATAGTCCAGATTACGAAGATGAAGACTACGATTCCAATAGCGAAAATCTTCCTGTTCTTTCAGGACTTGTATTTATTGGTGAGAATACAAAAGTAGGAAAAAGTGCGTTCTTAGGAACTAAAAATAAAAAGGTGGGTTTATGTTTCAACGATTTAGTGTGTTTTATTTATATTAGGTAGTATTTAACTATTATAATTGTAATATGTATTGAACTGTTATTTAGAATAGAAATATTGTACACTGTCCTTTAAATTTACATATTTTTTTTTTTTTGCAGAAACAAAAACTGAGATGGTACTGATTAACTTCACACGACTATCCTTTTTATTCACAGTTAAATTACGAATTTAAGAACTTGGGAATGAAAGCAAAGAAGGATATTAATAATGTGTCAGCCACACTATATCTGCTACGTCTAGCACCAACAGGCCCCGGCATGGCCAGGTGGTTAGAGCGCTTGACTCGCAATCTGAGGGTCGTGGGTTCGAATCCCCGTACCACCAAACGTGCTCGCCCTTTCAGCCGTGGGGGCGTTATAATGTAACGGTCAATCCCACTATTCGTTGGTAAAAGAGTAGCCCAAGAGTTGGCGGTGGGTGATGATGACTAGCTGCCTTCCCTCTAGTCTTACCCTGCCAAATTAGAGACGGCTAGCGCAGATAGCCCTCGTGTAGCTTTGCGCGAAATCCAAAAACAAACAAACTACTCGTTCAATCCGTCTCCAAACTTCGTAGCACCCTCGCCGTGATTCTGTGAGACGACGAGAATTGTTAAGTATGTCTACACCCGTTAGGTTTAACGATTTGTTCAGGGATAGTACAAGTACGAACAAAGCTATCTTTATACATTATACCCTGGGTGACGAGTAAACGGTTGTAAAGAACGTTCATAGTTTTTCTTCATGGCTCGGTAACTAACAGAATGCTGGGTATAAAAAAATTTATACCATTGGTTTCGGTTTTTTTTCATATATTTAAATGTATTTAAATCGAACTAATTAATTATGGCATAACATGTATAACAATTACAATCTTCTAGTTTTGAAGTAACTTATTCAGTTACAAGCTTCTAGTTTTGAAGTAACTTATTTTGGGGCACAACTTTGTACAAACCTTACAAGAAAGAAGCCACTTTGTGTTTGTCAGCCTCCACCCCACCCCACTGCGGACTTACAACGCTAGAATCCGGGTTTCGATAACCGTGGTGGGCAGAGCACAGACAGCCCATTGTGTAGCTTTGTGCCTAATTACAAATAAACAAACAAGGAGCGTTTGTCAGTTGTTATTTGAAATAAACATTTGGTCAACACTTTCACAATTTGTTTATATAAGCTCATATTTGTTGCACTTATTATATTACAATTGCCCCCCCCCCCAGTGGCATAGCGCTATATCTGCGGACGTACAACGCTAGAATCCCGGTTTCGATACCTGTGGTGGGCAGAGCACAGATAACCCATTGTGTAGCTTTGTGCTTAATTACAAACAAACAAATATTACAATTATATTGAAAGCTAAATAACATACAAACATTCACTTAGTTGAAACGTACATATACAGTTAAATTGTTTATTTGTAGTCAAGCGCAAAGTTACACAATGGGCTATCTGTGCTATGCCCACCACGGGTATCGAAACCCGGTTTTTAGACTTACTGCTGAGCCACCGGGGGTGTGTATATATACAGTTAACTTGTTTATTTGTAGTCAAACACAAAACCACACAATGGGCTATTTGTGCTATGCCCACCACGGGTATCGAAACCCGGTTTTTAGACTTACTGCTAAGCCACTGGGGGTGTGTATATATATACAGTTAACTTGTTTATTTGTAGTCAAGCACAAAGCTACACAATGGGCTATCTGTGCTATGCTCACCACGGGTATCGAAACCCGGTTTTTAGACTTACTGCTGAGCCACCGGGGGTGTGTATATATACAGTTAACTTGTTTATTTGTAGTCAAGCACAAAACCACACAATGGGCTATTTGTGCTATGCCCACCACGGGTATCGAAACCCGGTTTTTAGCGTTATAAGTCTTTAGACTTACTGCTGAGCCACTGGGAGGGGGTGTATATATATATATATATATATATATACACATAGAGT